ACTGCAACAGAAATACGGTAGGTCTGCAGGGCCCTACAAAGATTTGCAGGTTTTGAGGACTTTCGTTGCTTGGCCAAGGTAGGGTAGTCTTATAAAAAGTAACGAAATGATGTCCCTTCTGCTGGCAACGCAAGTCAACTTACGCAGCAAGAGCCTTGGTTTTCGGAGTGCCCTAAACTAGGGTCCCTTTTGAGGCCCCCAAACTAGTACTGCACCCTTACAACCAGGACTTTAAACGGGCCCCCCAGGTCAGAGAACTACCAATTCCTTTGCGATGTTTTTCTGTCTGAACCCTAAACCCCAAACCCGGACCCTAAGGAGCCTTGCGGAAGCATCGAGGTCATCGGTTCACAAAGCTCGAGAAACCATGATGACCTTTGCCAGAAAACAAGCCTTAAACTGATTAGAGTCTGTTGGGTTCGCTACTATATTTATCGATAGAGGAGCCCCAAACCCTCGTCTATCACTAGGACTCTACTATACGTATTATTAGCGTTATCAGTCTTCTGATTAATACGATGATTAATACCATTGTGATTCTTCTGATTATTGTCACTATCACGATGCTTTAATAATACCAATATTGGAAATTATTACTACTACTCTGATAGCAAATGTTTTTTAGGCACGTACATCACAGCTGCAGCAGAACGAGCCCAGACTCGCGCGCACAGTACTATAGGTGCCTTATTAGTTACCTATACTCTTTTGGGGGTTCTTTTGATATCTATAATAATGGGCCGCAAAACCCTATTCTATTTATTAAAAGCCCCTATATTATATTATAGAACCATGTTATGGATCCCTTATAGAACCCCTTTAAGGAACCCTTTCAAACGAGCCCTACTGTAACTTTGGAGGCCCCTACATGATCCTCAGAAGTGATCTCCGCACGCCAGGTGTGCCTGGTGTGCAGAGAAGGTGGAACAAGGGCAAGCAGAGGACTGCCGCTAGGGTTCCAGCATAAAGTTCGGGACCCAAAAGGCACATACGCATAAGCGTTTTATGAGGATATCCCTACCTTATTGGGCTTCATTATAAGGGGGCTTATATGGGATATCCCTATCCTAATGTTTGCTTATGTGCTTTTTCGGGTCCTATATAGTCTTGTAGTACAAGAAACCCCAAAGCACAAATCTCCAAGCATGAATGCCCTCCTACTACAAAAGTATATATAGATCCCAAACTGTGGTGGGTTCAGCCTTCTGATGGCGCCACTTAGAGGATCCTGAGACTTAGTAAGTCGGTTATAATTGGGGTTATAAGTCCCATTAGTGGGGTTATCCTAATTATATCCTACTTATAACCTTACTGACTAAGTCCCATGAGCCTTTAAGTAGACCCGAGACACAAGCCTTTGGTATTCTGAGGCCTTCCGCATACCTCAGCCCTGAAGTCTGGAAGCTTTCCCTGCGTAAACCCTGCCTGAACCCCAAACCTAAACCTAAAACCCTACCTAAACCCTAAACCCTAAACCCTAAACCGTGAAAGCCCTAAGCCCCAAAACAACAAGAACTAAGTCCCAATCCCTGAACCCTAAACCCTAAACAAAAGCCCTGAACCCTATGATTCACAGGAAGGGACGCATGGAGATGGAGGTTGGCTTCCGTGGACAGGATCGGGGAGGCTTTTCTCCTCGGTTGAGTTACAGTTTGGGTTTAGTCAGAGATCCCAATACCCCTTAATTAAGGAATATAGCTCAAATTAGATTAGGACCTCTAATACGATGTAAGGCATATTCCTTAGTTAAGGGCTATTGGGCTCTCTGGGTGATCAGGGTCATTTAGGGTTTAGGTTTTTGAACGCAAGCCTTAAGCTCGAAAGCTTCTGCTCAACCCTGAACCCACCCATCCTTCACCCTTCGCAGAAACTCCAACATCCCTTAATTATGGAACCTAAGCTCTAAAACCCAAACCCTAAACCGTGTTGGATCCCTTCTAATTATGATTTAAGCTATATGCCCCAGTGACGGGATATCGGAGTCGCTGGGTTCCCCCAAAAGCGCCCGGAAGGTGCGGAGGAAGCGACGCTGTGGGGGGCGCTGATGGACCAACAAGGTTCCCTCGCATGCCTGGTGCGTCTTGATGCACGTACACACATATGGGAGTTTCCGAAAACTAGGGGTACCCTGATTTTGGGGGTCCTTAGAAAAAGGGTTCTACTATCTAGGTACTATATTAGGGTCCCCTATTTTCGGAAACACATACATATTATTGATGTTGATTCTAAATAAAGGGGAAGGTCTTATTAGTCATATACAGCAATAGTTAGTATACTTACATGTGTATATATGTGTGTATGCAAACAGATACAGTTTTTTTTGGGCTCCGTATTCTGTCGATCTGTCTACAACAAGGAACGAACTTTGGGGCGGGAATGACTGATTTTTCGAATCCTTACATGATGGGCCTAACTCTCGCTCATCTCCCTGATTGCACTGTTCATCACAAGTTTTCGCACCTTTGAACCCAGAGCTATGATTGCAACTACAGGTACACCCGACTTGTTCAAGTTCTTCGAGCCGAAAAAAGCTGTGATGAGACGAACCCTACACCCTAAACTCGAAACTCTAAACCCAAAACCCGGAACCCTAAGCCCCAAACCCTAAACTCTAAACCCATAGAACCTTAAACCCTTAACCCAAAAAACCCTAAACCCTGCACCCAAAGAATCCTAAACCTTAAACGCCCCCTAGACCCCAAACCCCAAGAAGCCTTAAACCCTGACAAAAAATGTGCCTTGAAGGTGCCAATGCCCAGGAAGAAGTCGGGTCCAACGCGACTACCGCCACTGAGGGACACTGGGAAGCACCTTGTGGTGGTTTCTTCCGCTTAGGGTCTACGGACCAGAGTTTCTTGGGATTTGGGGTTTAGGACTCATTGGGTTCAGGGGTTTTCAGGGTTTAGGGCCTGTAAGGTGGGGCTTTGGGTTTGGGTTGAAGACTCTGGCGAAACCTTAATCCAGCCGGAATGCCCTGCTCTACAGCCTCAAACCCCAAACCCGCATGCCTTCACCCTAAGGTTCGACGCCCAACAGCCACACGCATTAATCACTAAAGCCCAAGTCTTAAAGCCTTACATGCCAATCTCTCTTTCTCTCTTCACCCTAAGGTTCGACGCCCAACAGCCACACGCATTAATCACTAAAGCCCAAGTCTTAAAGCCTTACATGCCAATCTCTCTTTCTCTTTCTCTCTTTCTCTCTTTCTCTCTTTCTCTCTTTCTCTCTTCTCTTTCTCGCTTTCTCTCTTTCTCTCTTTCTCTCTCTCTCTTTCTCTCTCTTCTTCTTTCTTTCTTCTCTCTTTCTCTCTCTCTTTCTCTCTTTCTCTTTCTCTCTCTTCTCTTTCTCTCTTTCTCTTCTCTCTTTCGTCTCTCTCTCTCTCTCTCTCTTTCTCTCTTTCTCTCTTTTCTCTCTTTTCTCTCTTCTCTCTCTCTTTCTCTTTCTTCTTTCTCTCTCTCTGTCTCTCTCTGTTCTCTGTCTCTCTGTCTCTCTGTCTCTCTTCTCTCTGTCTCTGTCTCTCTGTCTCTCTGTCTCTCTGTCTCTCTGTCTCTCTGTCTCTCTGTCTCTCTGTCCCTCTGTCCCTCTGTCTCTGTCCCTCTGTCCCTCTGTCTCTCTGTCTCTCTGTCTCTCTGTCTCTCTGTCTCTCTGTCTCTCTGTCTCTCTGTCTCTCTGTCTCTCTGTCTCTCTGTCTCTCTGTCTCTCTGTCTCTCTGTCTCTCTGTCTCTCTGTCTCTCTGTCTCTCTGTCTCTCTGTCTCTCTGTCTCTCTGTCTCTCTCTCTCTCTCTCTCTCTCTCTCTCTCTCTGCTGCACTCTAAACCCTAAACCCTGAACCCCTAAACCCTCTGTCTTTGAAAGGCTCTTTGCATGCAGAGCTGGTCAGCAAGGTGAAGAGGTCGGCAGCCTTGGGGGGGGGCTTTTCTTTTGTTAACAGCTAGTAGATTGCATTGCACCTTTGGGTACATGTGCATGTATCGTATGTGTATATGCATATGTACATGTTTATGTATGTGTATAGATGTAGATGTAGATGCTGATGTATATGTCTACGTCTACATCTATGCCAATGTGCATTTGGATGCGGATGTGGATGTATATTCACATGCATATGTATATGTACATGTATATCTTCTTGTATGCACCTAGCTATGTATATGTGTATTTATGTATGTGTGCATATACATATGTTTATACACACATATATATATGTATATATATATATATATATATATGTATACACATATATACATATATGTATACATATATATACATATATGTAGGTACATACCTGCGTACATACATACGTACACACGTACATTCCACGGTTAGTCAAAGGCAGCCCAGTCGCGCTTCATTGTGACCAGGCAATTCAGTTGCAAAGTTATTCTGCTTTCGGGTTTCTTAAGTATCGAGCTCACCTGCGGCCGAAAACCCGTCAAATCTCTGGCTTTGCCACCTCGGGATTTGTCGTCAGCTCACACCCTAAACCTTGGGTACTGCCCCCACTCAGTAACAGTTGGATAATAAATACCATGAGCCCTACCCGGACCCTGTTGGAACCTACCTTCTTGAGGGTTCCATAATATAGATGTACTAGGGCCTTAATAGTAGCTCTATTATAGACCGTTGCTGTATGGGGGCAGTACCCAACCGAAACCCACCGTCCCAATCCGCTCTTGCAGGCTCCAAAGGCAAAGCGAGGAGACGCGGTTTCTTTGGTGGCGCTGGTGCGAGGTTCCTTTGGCGTCAGCGGATCAGCTAAGCCCTCAACGCTAAACCTACGCCCACAGACCCAGAACCCCAAAGCCCTTAACCCAGGAACTTCACTTCACTTCGCAGCATAAGGGTCCTAGTCCCGCGCTAAGTACAAGGTCTCAAAAGCTCGCGCTAAACGCGGAGCAGACCGAAAGGAGACTTACCGCTCCAACATGCAAAGGTGAGACCGGAGGGTGCAGACAAAGGGAAGGAGCACACAGGTGCTCAACAACACAGGGCACCCGAGATCAGCCCGCCGAAAGGAGCTGATGCGGAAAGGCGAGGCGACGCGGCAGAGCGGAGGCGAGGCAGCCGGCAGAGAGGGCAGCAAGCGCCGAGGGGACAACCCCCGGCAAGCTGACGACCGAACCAAAGCCGAGCACGGAGACCGCCGAAGCACCGACCGCAGCAGGTGCGACACGGCCCAGCAAGTCCCAAAAGGCACCGGGGAGTGGCTGAGCGCTCCAAAGGACAGCGCCGAGCTGAAGCTGGCGAATGAGATGAAGGAAAGTCAACATCCGACGCAGAAAAAGGATGCGACTGGCTGCTGCTTGGCCAAATCCAGAAGGGCCACGAAGCCGTGGAAGGGCAGAGGGGCGCTCCTCACGGCGAAGAAAGGCCGACAGGCGCCACACATCACCAGACCAAGGGTGACGCATGTCGAAAGCGCAAAAGAGGCGCCAACACCAATTCCAACTGCAAGGAAGACACCAGAGACCTGGCGCAAGACCAGACCAGCGACAGGACGGGACTCGAAGCTCGCAATCGGCAGGAAACTCATCGAAGAAAAAGGCCGAGAATTGACGAGCAGGAACCTGAGCCGGGGAGAGAGGCGCGGAGGCCTCAATAGAGGGGTTCACACCATCGAAGGCAGCATGTGCATCCGCAGGGAAGCCAACAGCGACTGGTGCACAACCGGTAGGAGGGACAGGGGTTCCCTCAGCCGGATCGGTAGCCCGGCGGAAAGGGACAACAGGTGAAGACCTTGCGCCTTCGGCAAATCCAGGGCCAGGCGCCAAGGCATGGAGCTCAGCAGCAAGCTCCTCTGCAGTGCAGTTTCTGTCTTCTTCGGCAGCCCGTCGCTGGGCTGGAGTGGCATTACATGGCCCAGTAATACGAAAAACCGGCGCCCGAGCATGCCCTTGCTGGCCGCGACGCTTGGTGCCGGAGCCATACACATAGACGGGCCCGACACAACAGCGTAAGCCATGCTCACACGCAGGCGAGTTGAGCAAGTGATAGCGGAGGCGCGCTGCGTTATGAAATTCAATGAGGCACCAAAGGCACACGGTGCCAAGTGTATACTGGGTACAGAGTGCGACACGTCCGTGCAGACGGTGAAGGTGTGCCGCCAGAGCATGGGCCGAGGGCAGAGTCACCCCACACTCGGGGCAAACATGTGGGGCCGCAACCCCGATGATCTTCTTGGGAGAAGGGGTCTGACGGCTATGCCAAGCGCGGTGGAGCGCAAGGAGCATCGTACCAGAACGGCTGATCTTGCGACACGCAGCCAAAATGGCTTTGGAATGCCGGCGGATTCCTTCCAAGGTGGGCTCCCCAGCACGTAGGTCGGGAAGGCCACATGCAGGCCAGACCTTGCGGACGGCGTCAGCAAGGAGTGAGGACCACTCTCCACCGCGATCCCAACTGGCTTGAAAGAGGTCAAAAACCTCGGCCGAACGGCCTGACACAATGCGACAGAGAAGACGGACTCTGGCGATGAGAGTGGCACACTCGACATCAAGCACTCCCGTACACGCCCGCAGTTGAGCGGAGGCAACATGGTGGCCGGCGTCCCAGGCGCCGACAAGTTGGCGCAGGCACTTATCAAGGAAACCTTGAAGAGGCCCCCACGCCCGCTCGGAGTGCGCAAGCGTAGTGGCGAGGGATGAGTAGGCGGCGGGGAGGGTACGCCCTTGGAGCCACACAAGTTTCAGGACCCAAGGGAGATGGTCAGAATGCACGAGGCCAGCAGCCTGGGTCCAAATGGCGTTGCCTCGGGATGCTGCGGCTTCGATGTCACGGCGGCCGGTATCCCGGCAACGTTGGGCAACCCCGAGGTACTTATACTCGGGTACAACCCGAATGCACCGCCCATCAGTGAGGGAGAGCTGAGGAACGGGCGACAGGAGTTCCTTCCTGGCCTCATTAGCCCCCGGTCCTTGGAGGTGGACTAGGGCCTCAGTCTTACCGGCTCCCAGGTTCACCCGAAAGCGAAAAGCCTCGAAGACTTGCAAGACAATCGAGCACAAGCGCGTTTAGAGACGGCCCAGGTAGCCCGCAGGAAATCGACAAGCAGGCAAAGGTCATCTGCCCAAGCAATTTGAAGCGCGGTGTCAGGGTTCCCCAACGCATCGGAGGTGGATGCATGCACAATATCTTCAGCACGGAGTGCGTGGTGAAGGCATTGAAGGATGACTGCAAAAAGCGCGCCAAAGAGAACATCGGCCAAACCGTCACCCGGCCGAGATCCACGGCTGGCCATAATAGCCTGGGGCTGACCGACCAACCTCCAGAAGGAGCATTCAACGCAATCCCTGAGCAGGGCGATCTGGTCAGGCGGGACACCTAAGCCAGAGAGGACCCCATCTCGGATGAGGCCGTGGACATGTTCCGGCAGGCGCAGCCCTTGCAACGCTTCATCGAGGTCACGCCCCTCAAAGAGCAAAATACGGTCAGCCTCATAGTAAGCTGCTTGGATATCAACAAACAAGGCAGCCCATGATCGGTGGCGTACAGTGGCGAGGTCAACCGCCGAGCGAAAGACGCCCAGCGCAAGGCCAGTATCGACCCCACGCCGCCCGCCGAGCTGTGTGGGGAAGTAATGAGCAATGATTTCCTGACCGAGCGTAGCTCGCAACTGAGAGTGCCAAAGCTTCGCAACACCATTAAGCATGGCAATGGATCTGAAATTGGAGGGCAGGTGGGCCGGGCCTTTCTTATGAAGGGCTCCAACAATGGAGGCTTTGAAATGAAGGGGCTCAGCCTCTCCCCACGCGAGGTGAAGCCAAATCGGCCATAACCATCGTCCAGCTTTGTCGGGGCAAGCTTTCCAGACCTCATTACGGATGTGGTCCGGCCCAGGGGCCTTGCCTCTCTTCTGGGAACGGCACATGTGTTCAACGTCCAGAAGGGAAGGGACCGCTGCCGGGCAAACTGGGCGGGCAGTGTCAGCCCATTTGACAAAAGCGCTGTTGAGTTGCGCGCTCGACACGGGGCGTCCTCCTTCTTGTTGTTGGAACTGTAACTGCAGTTCAGCATCGATATTGAAGCCACTGGCGGCCCGCACATCGCGCTTCTGCTTAGCTCCTTTGGACGCCCATGAAAGCTTGGAAACAGCCTCAAGAGGGCGACCCGTGGCATGCCAGTGATCGATAGCTCCGACAAGCAGGGATTCAAAATAGGCCTGTTTGTCAATCCGGGCCTGGGCATGAGCCTGAGCTCGCAGTTTGAAGCAGACATGCGCAAAGTGGGCCACGAGCATCTGCACCTGGTGGCGTTCCCAGCGCCGGGCAGGAGCTGGTGGTGGCCGGCCGTGCCAAGCATGGAAGGCAAGTGCACAGAGCTGCTGTCGCTGAAGAGAAGCGAGACGACGTAACTCAGCTCTGGCATCACGAAGGGTGTCAAGGAGACCGGCAGCCGTATCTGAGAGGTAGGGTTGGCGCCGGCACAACGGAGGTCTCGCCGGCAGCAGTCGGACAGCTGCAGCGTGCGCAGTGCATAACTGACGGACTTTGGTGGAGCCAGATCCTGGACCGGAGCGGGCGAGGGTGTCCCAAACATGCTGCGAGACAAGGTCACCGCAAGTGGGTGGGTAGGGGCACCTTTGATGAACGCGGCGTCCGGTCTTCCCCCATATCTCGACACATGCCGTAATGGGCATGTGATCTCGCGCCTCCCCGTTCAGGATGTCAAGTTCAGGGAACTGACGATGGCCACGAACAACGACACCGCCAGTGACAAGCAGGTGGTCAAGCCGTTGGACCTTACCGCCGGTATGCTGCCAGGTCCATGAAGGGCCGGAATGGGTTTCAGCCCAAGTACCAGGGGCAGCAAGAGAGGTGTCATGCAGGCAGGCAAGAAGCAAGTCATCGGCCAAGCGAGCAGGTCGGAGGGACAATAAGTCACCGACCAGAACCTCTTCTTCATCACGTCCCACAAAATCTGCATTTGCATCGATGCCTGCCAGGACGACTCCCCGATTACATGCCGGCAGAAGCTGGACTCGCAGGTCTTGCCAGAAGCGCCGAATTTCATGTTCCGGGCGTTCAGCGTGCGGTGCATGAGCCGCGACCAAGGTCACCGGAAAGTCCGAACGTTGGCATTGTACTAACAGCAGCCGCGGGCTGGCAAACCGGATGCGAAAGTCATCGAGATCGAGCTTGGGTGACACAACATCAGGTCTAACCCAGATCTCAACGCCGAACATACCCTTTTCTGCGCCGGACCGGAAGCTGAGGAAACCATGTGAGGACCAGCGTCCTGGCCGGCTACGGCACTCCTGTAAGAAGGCAACGTGTACATCTAGGGATCGGAGCTGTTGAGCAATGTAGATGCGACGCTGCCCATGACCCTCCCGGTTAAAGAAGGATTCAGCGACGTCCTTGATAGTCTGAATGTTGGCTTGCACAAGCCTAACACAAACGTGAGTTGGCTTCGCCAGATCAGATTTCGCCTGAGATTCAGGCATAGCAGGAGGGCTGCTTGCTTCAGGTGCGTCCCTGGGTGCCCCCCAAGCCGGGGATTCCCAAAAGAGGCCAGCAGGGCCCAGCTGAGCGGACGGAAGTAGCCAGAGAACCGGTGCGCATTGAGCAAGGGTGGTCCCGAACGTCCCAGGCAGCCGGCACCACCCAGGGGAAGCGCACCAAGGATGCATCGCACCATAACCAGCAAGGACATCGACAATCTCATTAACCAGGGCACCGGCATGTCCGGGCACATGACGGAAATGGGTGGTGCAACGAGATTGAATTGCCTGCCAGAGTGAACGACAAACACGGGCGTGCGGCAGAGTAGCCGAGGCAAATCCCCCGGCCACCTGTAACGCCGCACTGTTATCGACAGCAATCGTAACCCGAGCAGGCGCATGGCCAGTATGTAGCTTCAAGTGATCCCACCAGGCAGTGAACCAGGCCGCAGCAGAAACAAGGGCGCTAAGCTCTCCCAGGTAAGACCGAAGGTCCGTGGCAGTGGCAGTGGGAGTAGGGAGCCATGGGGTAGCAGACAGACTACACCCCACACGAAACCATGTATTTTTCCAGAGGGCCCACACCGCGAAGGCCCACCCTCCCGCTTGCAAGCCACTGCCGTCAGTGGCGATAAACAGCTCATCAGGCACTCCGCCGGGCCAGACCGAAAAACGGAGCCAGCCCGAGTGGTAACAGGGAGGGAGCGTGGGAGGCATGCTCACCAGCAAGTGCCTAGCCAAGTAATGTGCGGCCAGGCCGGCATAATGATGACCCGCCTCATTGAGATCTAATCTCCGATCAGGACGGTCTTAGCGGCTGCATCCGCTACACGAGGGGCTTCGGAAGGGGCCCCCCAAGCTCGCCCATAGATGTCAAAGAGCAGAGTGGGCCACAACATGGGCGGTTGGACAGGTGGTCCTCGAGGGCGATACGCAGGTGGTTCCCAGAAGTCGCGGCAAAGGCCGGCTGCAGGGCTACAGCGTCCAATGGCTGAAGGGATATGAGTGAGAAAGAGGAACCCTGCTGCACCCACACAAAAGGTGGAGGGACGAGAGTTGCAGGCACTGCAGAACTCCGCAGAGCCATAGCCCAAGTCCAGGGAGGCCGCCAGTCCGGGTGCCGAAATCATCACCATCCCGCAAGGCCTGAGGCCCAAGATGGATCTCCGTGCGACAGAGGCGTGGAGGGTAGCCAGAGGCAAGGGTGTGTACCGAGGTGCCTGGACTACTTTCCTCGACAAGATGCAAGCCGAGCGGGTCAAGCCTCATCGTTGGAATCCACCGTGCGACACTAAAGGGAGCCAAGGAAGGGAAGAAAGTACCACTCGCTGGATCCCACCTTTCTCCACGGATGGTGGGGACGCTCAAAGGGCAGAGAGCGTCCGGTGGCCAAGCAACCAAAAGGCCCGGTTCTAGAACTCTGAAAGGGCGCCCCCAGAAGGCAAAGGTGGTAGCATGCTGGAGGGAAGGCCACTCACAGTCGCGCGGCTGGCGCAGCCAAAGAAAACATGCAGCACTCTCGAGGTACAGGACATCGCCTGACCGAAGATACAAGGTTGGCGTGCGTGTGAGAGAGGTGCCCCGCCATGCAGCTGGTGGGGCAGGAGCAGTCTTGGCCCCAGACCTCGCAGCTGGCTCCGGGGCGGCAAGCCAAAAGGGCAAGGCTCCACCACGGCGAGGTTCCCCAGCCGCGGTAAGGGAACCCCGGCGTAGCGCAATCTGCGGCCACATGTGCGACCCAACCCGAAGATTCGGCACAGTAACCGGCATCGCACCATGAGCAACACCCGGTAAGACAAGGGTGTCACTGAAGGGGAAAGCCCCAAAGGAGGCCCCTGCAAGTAGGAGAGCCCCGCCACTGGCCCAGAGCGACAAGGCATTCCGCGCCAGCAGAAGGCCAGCAAGGCACAACAGAAGACGCGGGGAGGGAGCGCTGCTACCAAGAGAGCCGCGATCGCCATCCCTAATCAGACCCTGTGTGCTGTAACGGGGGACCTCCAGCAACCGAAGAGGTGGTTGCGTGGGCAGAACATGTGCACGGTGCGGGTTAAGGCTCTCCGGGACAAGGTGGAGGCCGAGCAGATCACAACGGGCAGCCGGGATCCAACGGTCAACACTGTACCGGGCCAAAGAGGGTCGGAATGTGCAGTGTTCCGGGTCCCACACTTCATTTTGAACGGTGTGAACCGTCAAGGGAACAGGATCACCGGCCGACCACGCAAACAAGAGGCCCGGCAGGCGGATCTGAAAGGGGCTACCCCAAAAGGCAAATTTACGGGCCTGATAGAAGGTATCCCAATAGCGGCCGCTGGGAGAGCGCAAGCGTGGAGCCCAGCCGGCACATGCCAGGGTCAGCACGTCCCCAGACCGAAGGAAAAGAGTTGGGGTAAAGGAAGTGGCAGTGCCACACCAGATTTCCGGCGAGGCCAAAACACAAGCTAAATCAGGGACCGACCGTCGACAAGCTCGAGTAAGGTCTGCAGCGTGACACGTGGCTGGCAAGATGGCGGCTCGAGTCGCAGGCGGGCGCTGGAGCAGGACAACAACGAAGAGAGGATCCGAAGGGACGGGCACTCAATCCACTATGCGAGGATCTTGAGGTGGCCGGACTTGAGTAAAATCAGACCACGCAACAGCGGCATGACGCAACTCCGCAGGCGGACGATCAACGGGACCAAAGAACGGCCCTGACACAGAGCCGGAGGGCTCCCAGAGGCGGTGACATTCCCCTGCAGGATAGGGTGTGTCAGCCGTCCTAACTGCCCCAACATGACCCTGCCCGGTGGCCGCGAGGCCAACGGCGAGGGTAAGGTGGCGTGCACCGGCGGCCTCATTATGCCAGCCGAGAAACAAGCCAGCAATCAGAACCAAGGAGCTCGGGAAAGTTGGTAGAAATCGGACAGAGAGAAAGAAAGCGAGGAGAACCCGAACGCCACCTGAAGGCAGGGCGCCCTGGGGAGCTCCTGACACAACGTCACCATTGCGAAGGACAGTGCCTTGGCGCAGTTCCTGGTGTGAAAGACCCAGGACTCGTGGCTGAGTGGAGATGGAGGGCACATCATTCCATAACTGCCAGGCGTCCGTCGCGGCGGTTACTGGGGCACACCAGCACTTACCGTCAGCTTCAATGACCACATTGACGTATGTCGGGTCCTCGGACACCACAACTAAATGGGCATGGTCTTGGGCAATCCATGGTACCGGCACCCAACGCCCAGGATAGTGTTGACAGAATTCCCCAGCAAACGTAAAGTCGAGGGCCCGCCACTGGGCCCCTTCGGGTGCATGTCCCCGGATTGCACGGACCCCAGGGCGCCAAAGTATAAAATTTGTCCGGACAGAGACCGAAAAATCGACTGCCCAGACAGCACAATGCCGAACCTGCGCATCAGTGTGGAAGCACGGGGGCTGGTAAGTAGGCTCAAAGGCTGCCGGAGGCAGGGCGACAACAAGATCACCCGAACGCCATCTGATAACGCCGTCAGGAGGCGTCGACGCGGCCAAGGAACTAGGCGCCCGCAGGGAGAGCGCCTGTAATGGCTGAAGAAAACGGAGAGCCTCCCCCAACCATGACAGAGTGGAGGAGCAGGGGATCAAGACAGAGAAATGCCGATCCAAAGAGGACACCGCCAGGCACACGAGGCTGGGATCAGGGGGACGCGGCACGACCAACAAGGCAGGAAGGGCGGCTGTCGGCCAGACGGGCACAACGTCGGCACCCCAGGCCGGCTCACAGGCCTGCGTCAAGGTGTTAAGCTCAGTAGCGGCAGCGGAGGTATACAGACGACCGGCCTCCCGGGGCCCTGTGAAAGGACTAAGCAAAACAATATCCAATTCAGGTCGGGCCGAAAGATCAAGAAGGTCGCCTTCACCTGGACGTGCGCGCCAGGGGTACAGCCCAACTCGGATGGGCGGATCGGGGAGCTCGTAAGAAGGCACCATGCTAGACCCCAGCACAACCCCGAGGGCTAGCCCTAACCACCAGGGAGCGCGACCAACCGAAACCGCGAGAACGCCAAGCAGAACCGTGGGGCCAGGCGAGGCAGAGGTCAGAGGTTGATGCCAGGTGTGCGGGGCACTCAGCGGCTGAGCATCATCTAGACTGGGAGGCCGTATACTGAAGGGGTCCCAAACAAGATCAGCATTCGGGGCAACAACCAAGACGTCCCCGTCCCGCAACGTGCTACCAGCACGCACATAACGAATGGCAGGTAACAGTTGCCATCCCAAAGGGATGCGATGGGTGTTGCAGCCCGCTAGGAAGACCCCTACCGGTGTCTGCTCTGGCGGCAGGAGAAAGAGCACATGCGCTTCAGAAATTGAGGTGCGGGACATTAGATGCAGGTCCGACAGGTCACCCGTAAGGACTGGTACCCAGGAGCCTGTTAGGGTCTCTCCACCTAAGCTTCGAAATGTGGGGCCTAGAGGATCCCAATACGCATTGTCGCGTACATACACCAGCTGGCCAGAACGGCTGGAGGTTGTCCACAGGGTGACGGGGCCGCCTGTGTCGAACCTGAAAGACAACGACCAGCTGGCAACCTGCCGCGCCCTATCAAGGGATGGGTAGTGCAGAGCAGGGAACCGCGTAGAACCGGGTTGAGTAGAGTCAGGCAGAAAGCCAAACGCATCGCCGTTGCGAAGGCGGATGTGCGTGTGCATGTGAGCGGCGCGGATGGAAGGAGGCGGAATGACAACCCAAAACCGTGTGCTGGGAATGAGGCGGGCGGCCAGCCGCTGAATGTCCTCGAGAGACGCATCAACCGACGCTAAGGCAACGGCTGTGCCACTAAGGGTGTGGAAGACTACACTTGCCATCCCGAAAGGAGCGACCGGGGCAAGCGTAACTTGGGCGAACGGAAACGCAGCACGGACAGGGAAGAAGCGGGTTGCCCAGGTACCACAGTGTCGGGACCCAACAGCTTCAAACAGGGACCATGGTCCTTCCAACCGAGCAAAATGAAATTCGCTCCAACCTCTCAAGGGACAGAGGACTCGGGTAGTAAGGGGCCTTGGACCTGGAAAGCAGCGGGCAAAACAAAGCTGACCGTCAGTACAATCGGGCTGCCACCCCGCCTGCAGGACAAAAGGTTCACCACTGCTGAAATCGACTCGCGCAGGAAAATGGCGGTGAGAGCTGTCCCGATCACGGGAGCGACTCCGCCGAGGCGGCATCCTGGTGCGAATGGTGCGAGCTTCCGAAGAGTCAACACTGGAACATCGGCCCGAGGAGCCGGAGGACACAGCCCAGGCTTGCCCACTGAAACCATACACAAGGAGCAGAAGTCTGGCCAGCGCAGGCAGCCGACGCCCAAACAATCCAGCTGCAAGGGAATGAACCCACCAATCACCGTCGCGTACACTGGCTTCCTCAGTAGTCTGACTGGAGGCGGGGCGGAGAGAAAACCCTTGAATGTAAAGGTCATGTGCAGCGCCTCTGTCAATCTCGACACACCTAGTGGAGCCACGAGACTGAATGATATTCACACGCCCAAAAGCAGTGGCTTGCTCAACAAGCCAGGGTGGCGTCCCTAGGTGTCCGTGGCAGGGCGCCCAACGGTGGACTCCCAAGGCCTCCTCGTGTTGGCAAACGGTGGCCTCTGCAGCATTCCACCGCGCTTGGTGTCGGAGGAGAGCGACCCGAGTGGGTCGGCTGGGTGACCACAGCAGCACACAGGAGGCGTGAGCGACAATAAAGTCAGAATGCCATGCTGAGGCGGCATGTGCAGCTCCCCAGGTCAAGAAGACGGGCGTCTCGCGTGGCCCTGCTGAAGGGTCCGACTGGAAAAGCCGGACTGCTATCAAGTCACCTGATCGCAAGGCTAGCACAGGTCTAGTGTCCCGGGTTGACGCTGCCAGTCCGGGCGAGAGGTGTGCACTTACCCGGCGGCCAAAGCGAAGCTGCAAGGCATGGGTTAAATCGCGGGGGGTGAGAAAGGAGGGCACGACAACACAAATGAGCTGCCCTAGACCCGAAACCAGTATGCATGCAAGCCTCCCTCCTGGTCTCGGGACCAGAACATGCGAACCATCGGACACCAACCCGGATTCAGCGAACCCCCGATGCCACGACGTCAGTGTGTGATGTGCATCCGCGATGACATCCTCAAAGGCATTACTGGGGTCAACTTCAACGCGTTGCCAGGGCGCAAAGGGATTGGCCAAAGTGAGGGTGGCTCGGTTAACGGTGGCAGCAGGGATAGCCGGGGTTGCCAAGGGGGCTGCAGGTGCCCGTTGAATCATGGCCGCCGCTGACGGCAAGAGAAACAGAGCACCGGCCCCGAGGCTCGAAGACTGGCCACCATGCATGAGGCCAACAGCAAGGACAAGCAAGAACTGGCGTGCCATGGGCAGCTGTGAGAAAGCAAAGGTAGTTCCCAACCACCAACCTAGGCGACAGGAGGCAGTCGCACAGGCACCTCGAGCGAATTCTCCGAAAATCACATCCCCGTTGCGGAGTTCGCAAGCTTGCTCCATGGCATATGACGGGACCCCGCCAACCTGAACCGTCGCAGGGCAGAACCTCAGCTGAGCAGCGAGGCTGTCACGAGACACAACACGATCAACCGATCGGCACAACCGCCCTTCAGGAGTAGCCGCTACAACATTAACCTTAGCGGCAACCTCGTTAACCGCCATAAGCTGCAGGGCACGAGCACTCGTCCACTGGACCGGCGTCCAAAAGCCCGGAAATTAGTGTCTAAAGTCCCCCGAAAATGAAAATGCCTCGGGACACCAAGATTCGCCAGCCGGGATGCTCGTGAGCAGTGGCGGTTTCTCAGGACGGAGCAAGTGAACCGAAATCGGAAACATAAGCTGAAACCCCACTGCCCATGGAGCGTGGTGTGCCGCGAGTCCATCTTGGAGATGCCAAGGCTCCACAAACTCTAACGGCTCATCAGGGTCAGCTGGGGGATCATGGATATAAACGACGTCCCCGTTGCGAAACCGAAAAGCGGCTGGCGGGACATCAAAATATTCGCAAACCGCCAAACCGTGGGGAAGTGAGAGCCCGCCAGCTTCACTGTTGATATGGCGGGCAACAAAGGAAGTCAACCACGCAACCGTCATAGTTCGGGGCGTGAGTGTGGCCCGATGGTGGCCTCCCCAGACAAGCATAATAGTGACAAGGGCAGGATCATGTCCGACGGGGACGACGGAAAGTTCATTGAATGCAGGCCCTGGCCAGACCGGAAAGTAGTCTGCCGCCCAACCCGGATCATCATTGCGAAACTGGGCCCAGGCCTGAGTGTGGCAGGTGTCCTGGGAGGCTGTAAAGGGTGGGAAAACCCCTAAAAAGGGGCTGTGCAGGACAACTTCAACCGGGTCCTCACTCGTAATGCCAGAGAACCGCCGGTTAACCGGATCGATACCCCAAGGGAAGCCACCTGGCCTATGCATACCTAGAACCTCGGCGCGCCAGAGACAGAGAGCGAGCATGGCAGGCGCCACACCAGGCGACCTGGCGGATGTGACAACAAGCCAAACCCACAAACCTGCGGCGCAGAAGTCGATCCGGGGACCGTTGCTGCAGCATCGGTGCCAACCCCCAAGGTTTCTGCGGTGGCAGCTTGCACATCCTGCTGGGAGGGTAGCTGGCGGGATGGGCGGCGCCCCGCCGCCAGACAGTCACCGTTGCGAAATTGGACAACAGCGGTTTCTTCGTGGACATGCAAGGTCGGAGATCATATTCATGGCCGTCAAGATGAAGCGCCTGGAGCGCCGCACAGGCGACACATGCAGGAAGGCAGCATGGAAGGAGGCGTCCGTCAATGACGACACCAACCGCGACATTGCCCGGCGCCTGGGGGCAGCCGATTAGGTGCACAGCTGTGGCATCGGGCTGCGGCATGAGCAAAACCATCCCGGCCCAACCACGGCTGCGTGCATGTCCTTGAAACAGGACAAAGGGATTAAGCTCAGGCCCAGCGGAGTATTCCACAATGTCGCATTGCTGTCGGGCAGTGAAGGGGTTGTGGATACAAAAGGGCGTGCCCAGTGGGATGGCAGCGGCAAATGTGCGTAGGCCGCGTTGGAGTCCAAGCAAATCGGCTTGGACCCGTCGAACAGCGTCCTCATCGGCAGCCGGCTCCCGATCAAGAGTGGAGGGCCAAACTCCGAGAGCATAATCCTCAAGAGGGCGGGCTGCACGAAGATACCGCAAACGAGGTTGAAAGGGGGCGTTCACCGGCTCTGGTGGAGGAGGTCCAGCTGGAATGGTGAAAGGGACTGGTGCACCAGCAGCGGCAGACATGTTCTCAGCTTGGACAGGAGGGGGACCTTCTTCATCAGACTGCTCCTCGTCCGAACAATCCTGCGGGGGGAAGATAATGGAGCCATCACTGACAGTTGCAAGAGCAAGAAAGCTCCCGAACGCAACCCCCCTAAAACCAAGAAGCGCCCCGACTAAGACCCAACTAACAGAGGACGGAAGAGCCAGCTTGCGGCTGCCAGAAGTACCTCCGATATCAAGCAGATCGACGTTCGGGGCAGAGGCAGCAGCGCATGCGCTCTGGGAGGACAGCCTCAGAACGGAGGGGGAGTCTCCAACGGGCTCAGCGTCAGGCTCCGCAAGCCCAGCCCAGAGTCGTGACGTATGGAAAGAGAGTTCACGGGACAGCAGATGAACCCGTGAAACAGTAGCGTGGTCGAGACCAGTACCGTTACCTGAGAGATCAGTCTGTACACCTTGATCAACCAGGGGAGTTTGCAAGGCGCCAGCAGCAAGTTGATTGCCACGCCCATCAAGCCGGATGGCCGGTTCCAGTGCAGGGCCACGACTGGGCACATGTCGGAAGAAGGGGCTATCAATGACTAGCGGGTCAGGGTTCCAGGGGTCATCATCTCCCGGTATTCGTGCAAGGGCGCCGATGATGATCTGAATGACAGCTCCAGACGGGAAGTCAGGCAAGGGAGCTCCAGGCGGATAAAACTGGCCTGCAAAGGAAAGAGCTGGGCAACGGTCTGGCAAAGGTCCCCCTGGGAACAGGGCCCGGATGTGAGCGGAGACAACATCCCAATGAAAAGGGGTATGCCCAAAAGTAACCACAGCCGCATCTCCCCAGTGCAGCAGCCAGAATCTAGCAGTAGGATGTGTGGTGGGCACAATCGGCACGAAGAGAACGTGCTGCACAGTCCCGCCGGGTGAGGAGAGAGTAGACCGGAACTCACCGGGGTCGTCAATGTGGTGTAAACGGCACATCAATTCACGAAGCCAACGTGTTGGGTAGCCCTGTGGCCGCCAAGGCAGGTCGACAGGCACAGGGACATTGAGTGTCCAGATCCGCATGGTAGTAGGAGCCGGCGGTGGAACTTCGTCAACTGTAGCTAAAGCGGTGCTATGAGGCGGATGCATAGCAGCTGACTGACCCCCAAGTAGGATCAGGGTCAGGCCACCGAAAATAGCAGGGGAGCAAGCTCTCGCCGCTACAACCTGCAGGACGCCGTCAACAAGTCGGCCAACCAACCCTGGGAGAGCACGGCCAATGAGTGCCCTAGCCCCTTGGGGGCTCGGTGACATATGACGCACCTCGGCCGAGGGTTCGACACTGTGCACAACACCATCGGGCTCAATGGCACAAAAGAAGAAAGAGCAGTGAGAGGTAAAGTGCTGGACCACGGGCCGGAGCAACTCACACCCAATGGAATCCCTGAGGATCCACCAAACTGGTGGAGATGGCGGGGTAACCAAAATGTCCAATACCTGCGGATTCGAGTCAAAGGCAACATGAAGCCCATACTCACAGTCAGGCAAAAATGCTCCAAGATATGCGCTAAGATGCAGGTCGAGGTGGCGCGCATGAACACGCAGATGGATCGGGCCTTGCCCGGGCAACCACAGATGCAACTGGATTTCATACTGTGGTGAAGTGCGCTCAACGTAGGCTCCTAATTGGGGCGCCGCTACTGCAAAACCATGCGTTTGTCGCCCAAGCTCGTGCGTCCATGACATGGTGCAGGGCCGCGTGAAGTCACGACGGGTATGCAAAATGTTGTCAGCAGAGCGCCGAGGTACCAGTGTGGCGGGCTCGAGAGGCAGCTGCACCGAATCAACCGGGAGCGCCAAGAGACCCAGCACGCACAAGAGCAAGCTTCGCCCAGAACAAGTCAACCCAAGTGCAAGGGACACAAGAGTTGGTGGAGCAGGTGGAGGGCTCGGAGCTGGTGATTGGCAATTTTGCGCTAACTGCGAAATCCCCTCAGGCGAGTCATAGCCCACACTAACACATCGCCCAACGACATTGGCGAGGTCCCGGGGAAACGGCCAGATCTGAGTACTATCAGACAGGAATGTCTGGGGCAGCTCCCAGAGGGAGAGAGAAAGCGCCTGGGCCACTGCCTCCCATGTAGGAGCAGGTGTGCACATGCCAGCAAGGCGACCCCCTTCGCGAAGGGCCCAGACGGTGAAGCCAGGCACGCAGGCAACTAGACACTTGACGTGCCATGCATCACACCAGAGATCGACAATCTCGGATGCAGAGTCAGGCGTAACCCCAGCACCGCATAAGGTCGGGGGTGCTTGAAGTACCGCAGCAGGTGTGCTAGCAGAAATAAAGGGAGCGTTGGTCTGAACCCCAACACTATGGGAAACCCGAACCCTGGGGGACGGCAGGGGCGGGGGACTACGAACAATCCTAGGCTCCCAATGCAAATGCAGGAGGTATTCCCGAGCCCTGGCGAGGTCCGCCTGGACATGGACATGCCAATAATGACAATCACCCCGGCCGGGGATAACGGTGCATTCCCAGGACAACACCGACAGGCCAAAAGGCTGCAGCCGACGTAGCAAGACAGCTGCCGGGCGATTGCTGTAAAGAAGGCTGTCGAGAAATGCAGAGAAGGACTCGAAAACTCCCGCAAAGGCTAATAGAAGGCCTACCGCGGATGGGTCGGACGCATCAGTCAGGCGATAGGTAACACAGTCTTGCCCAGGACGAGCAACACCAAACGCCGCATGTGGGAGGGCATCAAATCCAGGGATCTCAACAAAGACATGACGGCCAGGGATGACACTCTGCAGGAGGGTGCTCAGCACTGTGATGTCAAGGTCGCACAGGCGCGGGACCTCAAAAGAGATCACCCCTTCAACAGAATGAAGAAGTGATACAACCCTCGACTCCTGGAGCCACCGAGAGGCGGAGGCAACATGAGGGGGCAAAATGAACGCCGAGACATCAAGCGAACGTTGCTCGGAGTTAACAATCACCCGAATGACATCACCGTGGCGAAGTCTGTGTGCCGAGCCTTTCAAGATTTGAATGTCACTGGCTGAGGCTGCGTCCTGTGCGGCAGTCATAACCTGGCTCGGACTATAGTCGAACGGAAGCTCGCTGCAAACAATCTCCCTGCCTAAATCAAAAAGGACAGTAAGCGCTCCCGGATGAGAGGGCAGGGACACAAGGTGAACAGCTTCAAGCGTAGGCCCGACCGACGCCGCAACAATCTGAGATCGTCCAAGGCGAATGGCTTGGCGGTAC